AAAGCACTGCTAACGCTGGGTAAGATAAATGAAATATTACCCCATGGTTTTCAAGCAGTAGGAAGTTAGAAGTACCCTAATCAATAGTTTAACTCTCTCTCAGGAAGGGAAGATGCCTTCTTTGTACCACTGGAGGGGATTTGTGCAGCCTGTGCTTCCTGGCTTTCCCAGCCTGACCCCTACAAGCCCCTGCTGACCTGCACGGCTTCCCAGAACTGCTTACTAGAGCAGGAGAGAAGCCTGAAATTGCCTCTTCACGAAAATGAAATATTTATTAGGAAATGCTGTTACATTTTGCCCTTTTCTCCCCACCTAGAGAAGTGGAATGAGCACGAGGAGTACCGAATGCAGCAGCAGCAGGATAACACACACAGGAGGGCACTGACCGAAGGCAAACTAACCCTGTTCTCCAGCTCACTGGGTGAGACCACGAACGCTGCTCTCCTCCCAGCCCATCCCCATCAGAAGGTAACACCACTCGCAGTACGTCACCACCTCCACTTTCCTATCGCCTGCTACCATCTTCACCATTCAGTGCAGTAACTCATGAGACCTTCCTGCCCCGTGCTCCAGATTAAAAGTTTCAGCCTGTAAGGAGAAGGTCCCAAACTGCTCCTTCGGTGCACCTGTAGAGATGGTCGATTCCAGTCAACAGGCAGTGACAAACACCTGGAAACAGGCTATTTTTGGTACCACAACTGGATTATGGAAAAAAAAACTTATCCAAGGTTTCACTCTTCACATAAGGATCATTTTATCTCCTGCATTAATTTAACATGTAAAGATATCCTCATTAACCTCATGAATCTACGAAGTTGTCTTTATCTGTTAAACAAGTGTTACAGGTTGTTAAAAAAGTATCAGAGATGAATGTAAATTTCTGGTACCACACTGACTATAAAGGAGTATCTGCTGTTTGTCACGGTCAACAGGAAAATGAACATATTTATAGTACCACATATAAGAAAACCTGTTTTTTTTTTTTTCCAAAGTGTCAGAAGCGCCTGGCACCTACTTTGGTCTAAAAATATTGGCTGTCCCCAAACTAGTTGTCAAAACCATCAGTGCCTCCCTACTGCCTCATTATGTCTTTGATGTGATCGTTCTACTGAAAAAAAACAGTAATTAAAAGACAAGATTCTATAAGCACTGCTAAGTGTTACATAAACAAACAAACTCAAGGACTGCTGTTGTGCTTGTTACGTGGCGCTCTGCCTGCCCCAGAAACACCCACCTCCTGCACACAACCCCACCACAACCTTCACACCCCGGCAGCTCCATTCAGCACTCCTTGTTGGGCCTCTCAAGATACGCAGGCTTGCTCAAATTCCACGTTATTTTAAAAATAAATATTTTTTTTTAGCTGCATACATTAGGTGACCAGGACAAGAAACATTTTAATGTGCATACCTCACAGCACATCTGCTTCCACATAGTTTGCTGTCTGCTCTGCTACACACCTGCAGGTTCACAGTATGTTAACTGCTGTTGCTGCCCAGCCAAGTTTTAACATTTACTGCTGCCCGAGGTTTCTCCTCGTAGTCTATTCAGGTGTTACAAGAAGTTGACCTCCATGCATTAAGCCAGAATACACTGGAGTAGAACTGGAGACTTCCCTTGCTTCCCTGCCTCCATCCAACTTCTCACGTAGACCATATTCAAGAATTTCCTTCTAGAATTTTCGGTCCTTAATATTCAGCACTATGTGCTCTTTTATTTCTGCTCTGACGTACGTGTCTGTAACATGCAAGAGAACTGTTAGATCCTGTTTCAATCACCTATGATTCAACATCCCCAGAATCTGACCAACTTTGAACAGAAATGAAGATTCTTCTTTAAGAAAGGAGGGATAAAATAAGGCAAGTAAAACATCACCAACATTTCTTACCCCTCACTTCTAAAAAACTAAGAGCTTTTATCTCTCAGCTATGTCACTGCTTCTGTTTTGGAAAATATAAGATAGGGACTAAGCTTCCCCCCGTCTGCTTTATGACAAACCTCCTTCATCCCTCCACCTCATAAATGAAATAAAAAGCAGCACTTGAAAGCAGCAAGACAGATAAAGACTAAAAAAATGTTGCATTTACAGTCAATGCTTACAGTATAGCTGGTATAACTTCAAGTGTTTCATAACTACAGCACACATTGCATATGTATATCTCAATTTCAAAAAGTTTAAGTATCTGCTATTGTAATTCCACTCATTTTCAAACAGATAAAATTGGCCAAATAAAATTCCACAACTGATACTGCATTCTAAGGTCTCTTACTATGCCTTCCATATTTAGGTCACCTAAAATCTTCCTTGGTGTAAGTATTCTTTTACAGATCTGTATTACTTCAGCACAGCTGAGAAGTTAAAATACTTTTGTTTTTTCTGGTAAGCCTTGAAAGTCCATGGGACTGGAAAATATCCATGAAACTATTTAAGTTTAGCCACAGTTTATCAGTAGAAACCTGTTTAAACACTACATCAAACGCACGCTATACAATCATGGTTTCTTTTCCTTAGCGCTCCAGGAAAAAAATGAAATATTAACTTAATACAAATGTTACGAACTCAAATCCTTATCACCAAATAGCATAATCCTGAAACCACAGAGATGATAAAAAAAAAAATTAGCAGCGATAATAGCAGGAGAACCAGGCTGTGCTCCGAGTGGAATTCTAAGAACCAGCCCTCTGTGCCTACAGGGAAGTAGCCTCCGTTTCTATTCGGTGATCACAACGGCACAGATGTGGCAGCCTGTAGTAAGAGAACTACAGAATCACGGAACTATTCTGGATGGAAAAGACCCCTAGAAAAGATCATTTAGTCCAACCTGCAGCCTAGTACTCAAGTCCACTCTACTTCTACATCTACACGTTTCTTGAAGACCTCCAGGGACGGTGACTCAACCACTTCCCTTGGCAACTTGTTCCCATGCTGCACAACCTCTGCAGTAAAGGAACTTCCCCTAATACCCAACCTAAATTAGTTACCTTTCCTTTTAAAAGTTATAGGGAATTATATGCAAGGAGCTTTACTAGAAAAGCATCATTTAGGTCCCAGAAAGGCTTGTAAATGACCGGCTGCATGAAGCCAGACTCTCTGAGGTACACAGACTGAACGTACTGCGCCCACGTGCGCCGTGCTCCCTGTCATGATGCCAACTGCTCCTCAAGCCACTGGTTTACACTTCAAGACTTGACATTCTCTCCCTTTCCAAAAACTGTCAATATACTTCCACAACATGCAGCAGATAATGTAAGACCTTAGTCAGCAGGAATTTTAAGTTGGTACTCGTAATGCCACCCTGAGGTCCTAAGTGGGTAATATAATTAAAAAGCATAATTTTTAAATGTTTATCAACTCTTCATGATACTGCAAAAGCCCTTCTTTTTGCATCACGGCTTCTTCATAAGTTTTCCATACCATTCAGCACTTAACGTTAATTTCTATCATTATTGAAATGTTTACACTCTGTGATAAATGAGAAGTCTGAACACACTGGGGGCAGCACAGACACATACAAAGGAGTTCACCATTCTGAAACCATTCTGGACACCTACAGCCTAAGGCAGGAGGCAGAACGCTGCAAACGAACAGTTTGAGCCGATGCTGAGCTGCCCACAACAGCCTAGATGCAATCGTGGCTTCTGTATTCCCAGCAAAGAACTTTAATGGACATCGGTAAATGGGGGCCACACTGGTTCTTACACAGAGACCTGCTGGGTATGTCCTCCTAACTGAGAGATCACAACAAGCAGGTGACAATACCTGGCAAAAAAAGTCCCAAGCACCTGGAAAGGAAGTTCCCTTCCTGGTCATGAAGGAGAGCTCAGCTGCAGACTGGGAGTATATCATCGAGCAGCTACACAACGAAGGCAAAAGTCCTGCGTATGACAAGAAGCAGACACCCAAGGAAGATTTAAACGGGGCAACACAGCCAAAGCAACAACCCAACCACCTGGGAAAGCTGGCTCTGGAGCAGCACCCTGGACAGGTGAAAGTACAGCAAGACTTCAAGGGTCACAGAAAGGATTTTGCTGGAAGCATGACATGAGCCTGAATAGCCTGGAAAATAACTTCGGGCAGACTGCAGCACAGACCAGAGATTGCCTCTGCAAAATACTCGTTCTGATGAGAGGTCACTGCTTGAACTGCGCTACCCTGCCTATAGTGATTAGCTCTCCTCTTTCCAGCTTCCCTAAAAAGAAAGGCTTGTCAGTAACATTTCGCCCTTTTATCCAAATTCTCTGCTCATCTACAATATCCTTTCGAAAAGAGGAAACAGAAAACAGTTGTCTTAAACTGCTGCTTTTAGGTTACCTCCACTTCTTCAAGTGCACTTCATAATATCATTTAGCAATATAGGACCACGTACACTTCCCAAGAAAGAAAAGAGTAAAATAAAACACAATTATTCAGGCCAATTTCTCAAATTTTACAACCTGTATTGAGGATTTTATCTTTTTGAACCAGGCACATAGAACGCTTTGCCTGAGCAGCCACAACAGACAGCGCCTCAGAACGTGGAAGCTCACACAGTACAGTGTCAATTTCAGGAACCTGAGTTAGAAACGAAAACTGAAAGTTCAAAACACTTTTAAAGGGCAGCAACTCACAGCTATTGAGCAAGCTCTTAACAGCTCAGATGCTATCAGACGTGCCTCCTCCAGCAGCACAGACACAGCTCTCAAAGTACGCTTGTGCCACCCAGACCACCCCGGGCAGCTCACCAGTCCCCTCAGAAAAGGGAAGACACTGCTACACCAGTGCTCTCCATATTACAGAGGTTCTCCTGGGTCTTCATAAAAAATTGATTAGGTTTCACCTTCCCCAGCTATGGGACGCGTTGCACAAGCAACGTAACCGCCTTTTTGTTTAAACTACAGCACAGCACCTCACAGGGGAACATTCACAGCGTGTCAGTGACCCCTCAGAAACCCCTCGTTCACACCATAAATGAAAAACTTTGGTGTTTTTGAGTGTGAATGAGCAGAGGCACCACAGCTACCTCACGTCAGGTCCTGTGCTCGATGCCGCGGGTCAGCCCCGACCCGTCACACACCTGAGTTACGTGGAGAAGTCTCTCAGGGCAACTCTCGCTTTCCTGGGCTCAGCTCCTTCTTCGAACATTTACGGACAACCTAAAAAAATAAAAAATAAAAAGGAGAAAAAATAAATAAAGTTCTGTGGAAAAGCCAGGCTTTTTTTCAACACTCGACTCCTTCACAAAGCCAGGAGCCACGAACGCAGCCGTTAACGGTCCGGACCCCGCTGAGGTGAAGCCGTTGGCGGCCCAAACGCACCCGCGGGGCCGCCTCATCCCCCCGGCCCCCAGCAGGACCCGCACGGACCCCCCAGCTCCAGCCCCGAGCAGCACAAACCGAGCTCCCCAGCACCGCCGGGCCTGAGGCGGGGGCTCCGGGGGGCTGCGGCCGGCCCCGGGCAGGGCTCGGGCCCCGCTCCCCGCCCCCCCCCCCCCCGGCCCCTCACGCACCTCCCGGGGCCGCCCGCCCGCCTCAGCCTCCCCGCTCCAGCGCTCCCCGGCCGCCGCGCGGCGCCCAGCCAATCGCGGCACGCCTCCGCAGGGCCGCGCGGCGCTCAGCCAATCACAGCCCGCGCCCTCCTCCCCCTCCGCCAATCGGAGGGCAGGCCCGCAAGCCCCGCCCCAATCCCTCTCCGCGAAACGCCGGCCGGGAGCCAATCAGGAGGCGGGACGCCGCGCCGGCGGCGGACGTGCGTGCGCTCGCCCCGCTCGTCCCCCACCTGCCCCTCAGCCAATCAGGGGCCGGAGCTGCGCGCGCCCGCCGCGGGCTCGCGGAGCAGGCTGCTTTGAGCGGCCCCGCGGGGCACAGCGGCCCCGCGCATGCGCAGTGAGGGGGGGGGGCGGTCAGTGCCGTCAGTCAGGCGGGTGGGCGGTGACGGGGCGGCAGGGCCCCGGCCGCTCTTGTCACGGAACCACCGAGTGCTGGAGCTGGTGGGGGGCTCTGGGGGTCCCTGGTCCCCCTCGGGCTCCCCCTCTCCAGGCTGCCCGGCCCCCGGCCTCGTGCTGCGGCTGCTCCAGGCCCCTCAGCACCTCCGCAGCCCCCCTGGATGTCCCCCAGCAGCTCCGTGTCCCCCTGGGGCTGGGGAGCCCACAGCCGGGCACAGTGCTCCAGTGCTGCCCAGTTTAGCCCAGTACAGCCCACTGCAGCCCAACTTAGGCCTGTGCAGCCCAGGCCAGTGTGAAAGGTCCAATTCAGCCCAGTACAGCCCATTTTAAACCAGTGGAGACCAGTTCAGCCCAGTGCAGCCCAGTGTAACCCAGTTTAGCCTAGTTTAGCCCAGTGGAACCCAGTTTAGCCCAACAGCCCAGTGCAGCCCAGCACAGCACCAATTAGCCCAGTTTAGCCCAATGTTGCCCATTTGAGCCAGCAGAGCCCAGTTTAGCACATTTTCACCCAGTACAACCCACTGCAGCCCAATTTAAGCCTGTGCAGCCCAACCCAGTATAACAGGTCCAGTTTATCCCAGTGCAGCCCAATTTAGCCCCATGCAGTCCAGGTCCAGTTTAACCCAGTTTAGCCTAGTTCACCCCATTGGAACCCAGTTTAGCTCAACTTAGCCCAATGCAGCCCAGCACAGTCCCAATTAGCCCAGTTGAGCCCTGTGTTGCCCGTTTGAACCAGCAGAGCCCAGTTTAGCACATTTTCACCCAGTACAGCCCACTGCAGCCCACTTTAGGGCTGAGCAGCCCAGCCCAGTATAACAGGTCCAATTTAGCCCAGTGCAGCCCAAATTAGCCCCATGCAGCCCAGTTTAGCCCAGTGAAGCGTATTTAGAATCATCTAGATTGGAAGAGACCTCCAAGATCACCCAGACCAACCTCTGAGCTAACACTACCAACTCCTCCACTAAACCACTTCACTCAGCTCTGTTGCCAGGGTTGGCAGGGAGCTCTGAAGACCCCTGGTCTAACCCCTGCCCAGCAGGGTCACCCCGAAATCCTGGGGGTTTGGGTACCCCCAGAGAAGGAGGCTGCACAGCCTTTGGGGCAGCCTGGCCCAGCTCTGTCACCTCACAGCACACAGCTGCCCCCTCACATTCACGGCAGCGCGTGCAGCCTCCCTCCCGCTGCTCAGCCTCCCAGCGTGGAAATGCCACGGCGCCTTCTGCAAAATGTTCTTTCTCTGTGCCTGCGGGAAAGGAACGGGAGTCTTGGTGTGCGGCGAGGAGGGACTGCTAACATTGTACGCGTGGGAGGGAAATACTCGGTCACGACGGGATAAAAAGATGAGAGAAAACAGCACCGGTGTAGACATTCTAGCTGGTGCTGCGTTAATGTTTATTGTGAGCTATATATGTGCACGATAGTACATGTGGTTTTTTTTTAACCGAATCCTGGAGTTAGGCCCGCTGGCAGCAGTGGAACCAGATCGGGCAGAGGAGATACGAAGGGTTGTTTCTGCTGGCTGCATCTACGCTGGTAAATTAGGTAGCAGCAGGATATAGGCATTGGCACTGGAATGTGATTGTACTGTTAACTGCTGGAACAGTTACGGGACCAATATATTTTGGCATACATCTAAGCTCCAGACCAATCAGTACTGTCCCAAACAACTTCCAGGCAATTCTGGCAATCCTGCAAGGGGTAGGGGCCATTCCAGGTAGGCATTTGGGATAGAATCACCTTTGTGCAGCCTGCAGGCTTTCAGTTCTGTGCCGTGTGCTCTCACACCAGTGAACAACCTTTGGGTGTTGGTCTAGAAGCAGCTGCTGAATTCATTCGATGCAGAAAGGCTTACCTGAGGCTTTTTGCAGGGTGTGCAGTGCAGCGATTGTAATCTTTCCTTGCATCACAGGTGTTCCAGTGCCTTCATTTGTCTTTGTGGCTTTTCACTGGACTGACTCCAGTAAATCTCTCTTGTACTGGGGAGCCCAGAGCTGAACACAGTATGCCAGCAGTGATCTCACTGGTGCTGACAAGAGGGGAAGGATTGCCTCCCCGAGGCTGCTGGTGACACTGCTTAATGAATCCCAGGATGCTGCTGACCTTCTTTGCCTTGAGAGCACGTTGCTGGCCACCAGTCCTTTGCCAGCTTGTTTTCCAGCCAGTTGTCCACCAGTTTGTACTGGTATGTGGAGTTGTTCACAGTGTGGGACTTGGCACTCCCCTTGAACTTGAAGAGGTTCTGCCCTGCCCATCTCCAGCCTTTGGAGGCCCCTCTAAACTGCATCACAACCATCTGAGGACCAACCACTCCTTCTAGCTTTGTATCCACTGCAAACTTGCTGAGGGAGTTCACTGTCCTATCATCTAGATGGTTAATGAAGGTGTTAAACATCTGGACCCCGTCTGAGCCCCCAGGAACAGCCCTAGTGACTGATCCCCAGCCTGACTTGGGGCACTGACCATGACCTGCTGAGCCAGCGCTCAGTCCACCTCACTGTCTGTGTGTCTGTGTATACTTTGTATTTGGAGTATGTCATGGGAGACACTTTGAGGAGCTGTGCTAAAGTCAAAGTAAACATCCGCTGGCCTTTCGTCATCTCAGATGGCTATCAGCTTGGTCATTTCACCATAGAAGGCTGCAAGGTTGGTCATGCTTGATTTTTTCGTCACTGACCACTCCACTCTTTAGGTCAGAGGTTGGACTCGATGATCTTGAGGTCTCTTCCAACCAGATACCACTTTCCCCGGGACTGAGGTGAAGCTGAATCTCTCTTGCCTTTCTTGATGATAGAAGTGAGGTGTGCTTTTGCCCAGTCCTCAGGAACATGCCCTGGTCACCGTGACATGGGAATGGGTTCCTCCTGACACCAGGCAGGCTCCCTCAGGCCTCCTGAGCAGGCAGCAGCTCCTGGTGGAGGTGTAAGACACCATTATCTTCTGTCCTGAAGCGTTGCTCAGTGTAAACAGGGCAATACAGTCACACTAGTGTGTACTTAGTCCCTTGGCCTAAAACCTCTCATCGACAGAGGGAAACGAAGCCTGGGCTGTGGCCCAAACCAACCTCGCTGCCTGGGAGGGGAGATTAATGGCTGGGCTTTGCACAAGACTCCTTGCATTCCCTGGTGGCCTTGCAGTATGATTTCCTCCGAGATGCCGACGTCCATCTGGCAGTGTTGCTCCATTGTAGGCCGCAGCCTCTCCAAGCCACGCCAGGAAAAAGAAAAGGATGAAGCACAGCAGTCGTACACGGGATACTTGGGCAGCTCAAGAGAAACGGCAGCCGAAGGTGCACAGTGACAGTATTTCCCTGTGATGTGCACACTGCTGTAGGCTCGAGAAAATGAGCTGAGAGCATTAATGGTGTACGCAAGAGAGGCTTATGTGAGGGAGGTACAAAGGCTAAAGCAACAGCTGTCGTGCTCCCAGCTGGTTTGCTGATGGTGTGGGATCCTAGACAGTAGGAAAATATGGACAGAAAGCATTTTCCTCTGCTTGGCCTGAGGCCCAGGAGCCACTTTCTAACTTGGATTAGAAAGACAAGAGAATTACTCCATTATATAAGATAGAAATCTAACCACCTGCAGGGTTAGATAGGGGTTTTAAGAGTGTTAATAGTGTCCCCATGTTGGACTTTTGTGAATAAAGAGACATTTAAACAGCTGTATCTTTGTGAATCTAGCCCCTGAGCAGAGTTCTTGTCATCTAATCTGAGAAATCTAAAAATGAGATAAATGAGTCTGATCTGGGCACCCTGAGACCGTTGTACCTATTCACTTAATTAACTTTCAGGCAGCAGTTATGTGACCTGCAGTAAGCACCTGTCTTATGGTGGCAGGAATTGCCCTCTGAATTCCCTTTGTCTGCATTGCCTGTAAGGGAAATCATAACTTCCTCAGATCTAGACATCTAATTGTGAAATGGCAACGGTGAGATAAAGTAATCTTATCTTGTGTTTCTGGCATAGAATCAGCAGCAAGTGAACTCCACGGCCTCACCCTTATGGGTAACAATTGCTAAAGGAGTGCAGCAGGTATAGTGAGGACTTCCTGAGGTAAGGTAACCCAAGCCAGTATATATATATATTTTTTTTTATTTTCTGTGTTGAATTTCAACATCATCTGTGTGCATTGATTGGAGTGCTCTGTAAAACTGCATTGTGCAGTGCTACATTCAGTCCCCTGAAGCATTTAAGAAGAAATACTGGGCACCAACAGGGACCTGACATGAAGGGACAAAAGCTACACTGAAAGTGTGCAGAAAACAGTACAATAACTGAGCTTGGTGCTTCAGCTTGAGGTTTGTTTGTTGCTTCCACAGCGCTGTGGATTTGTAGAATTTAGACTTTGTCGTCCAAGAAACACTCTGTGTGGCTATGAAAGAAACCACTGAATGAGAACAGGCCATAAAGAAATGAGAAAGTAATACAGGATTGTTACCAGGTTCTTTCAATTGCATAAAATCATGTTAAATTAAATTTATAACACTTTGATCATCAGCAGTTGAAAATCTAGATTTTATAGTAAATTGCTTTATTGTCTTGCTGCTGCTTAGTTGTTAAGGGATAACGAGTAT